TGAAAACTCAGTCTGACAAAATCAGCTCAGCCCTGGTATCACACTCCATGGAATTGTAGGTGTAAGAAGGAAAATAGAAACTAGCAGATTCAAAAGGAAGGGAGACAGGCACACGCCCAACCACATCAGCTCTATGCACTGGAAACAAGCAGTGCATCCCCTTCAGGTCTTTGCCCATCCTTCATCTATTCTTGACCTGCCCTGGACTGGAATTACTGAGAGATCAGCAAAGGCAGCAGAGATGAGAGACTTCTGACATTTGTGCTGAGCCTTCAAAAGATGGCTCCTTTCTCTCTTTATTCCCAGTTACCTTGTTGTTTCTTAAAGAATCGAGATACCGTACATCCTATAGGTGAACAATGTTTCTCTTTTCCCTTCTCAGTTTTTTTGTTTGTTTGTTTTGGACAGGTTTCAAAATTCCTCAAAATTCAGTAAGAAGAAAGTTACTCACCAATCCTAACCTGAAGGCCAGAACATCTGTTTTTTGTTGTTGTCCTTGTTTTTACACTAATTCCTTGCCTGAAATATGTCAATTTAAAAATTCATCTGATCTAAAAAAAAAAAAAAAAAAAGTACAACACTTTGTCTAAATTGAAGATATTGTTTTCAATGATGCTATTAAGAGGATTATGCTAAAACAAATCAGTCTTTAATTGGTTTATAGAGAATACATGAGTATCTAGGCAAATAAAAGTGTATGTTTTATGAGTAAGTACTATAATTATCTGCTTGTTACTTGGAAATAAAAACAAACAACATTAGCATAATAAAACTGTTTACACATCCTAATGAAAATGTGTCATTATCTTCTCCTAACTTTAACAAAGCAGTCAGCGTACATCATCAGTCCAATACACTGAATTTTACACCAGGTATTGGATGAATTTTTATTTTTATTTCAGGTGATGCATATTAGCATTTGGACTCACTGAAAGAGTCCTTGAGCACGGTTAACGGTATCATAGAGAGGTCAAAATTAATAAGATCTACTAGAAAGAAGCAGTGCAGAATTGATTGCTCTCTAGATTCTGAGAAGAATTTTACAAATCATTTCTATCTGGAAGCTGAAGGATTAGCCTGACGTAAATTTCCCAAGCTACATCTGTCATAAGAAGACTAAAAAAGCAACCGGCCCACTGAGCAAGAACTGGCATTTTAGGAAATGGCTTAAATAGCACAGAGCTCTCAACTAATACATCTACACTCGCTGCATATTTGAGTAGAATCAAATCAAGAGCACACTGCTTGTCACCTTTACACCTGACTCAAGTGCTGAAAGAAAATAAAAAGGTACTGAGCATTCCAGCTGTCATTGCTACAGACAGTAGAAGCACAGGCATGCCCAGCCAGTGTTCACTCTTTCAACTTGTGTCACCAAGACAAGCGGGAAGTCGCAAGCACATGGCAAGTGCTGCCCCTATGGGAGTCTCATCCTCTCTCTCTGGAATCTCCTACGTTGGATTTCCACACACTTCTGAGAGCAACAGCAACCTCATCAACATTACATAGGATATTCTACTGTTTATCTGCCTTATGCTTCTTATGTAAACACATCTGCTCACCCAAAGAATTACTTTACCTATGCCCGAAGGTGACTTTGTAAACCTTCCATAAATATTAGTATTAGATTGGAATGGAGCATGTTTTGTTACGTAGCAAGTTGCAGCAGTATACAGCCATTAAAAGAAAGAGAAAAAAGACATCATTCAGGTCATCGCAGTGGAAGAACTTACAGCAACAGAGTTAACAAATACATACAACCGTTAGAAATAATCCACACAACACAGACTGAAAACCAACAATATATATGTGTTCTGCTCAAGAGACTAGAAATCAACTGAAAAGAGGGAGATGAAATTCTCATTCTACAGAATAACTGCTGGATTCCTCCAACTGCTGTTATGCCTATGAAGTTACAGGTGCTTTGAACAGTAACCTCTATATATGGACAGTAAATTGTCCACCAAAGTGAACAGCACAATTTAACTTCTTGCTAGCTGCAACATGATATAGGAGACATTTGAAATACTTGACATAAGACTACAGAAATTCAAATTCAGCAAATACTAAGTGCAGAGTATGAGACCCAGTTTCAGATCCCTATATTGCAGCAGTGCAAGCCAAGTGTTGCTCAGCAAGCAGCCTCTGCTTCTGGGCAAGGGCTCCATTTGCCAGATCCAAACCCTGCAGACCTGTGACCTGACAACCAGCTGCGGCTGTCCTGGAATGACCTGGGACTGGCAGGCGAGAGAAGCAGCAGAATTGAGAACAGAAGTGTGGCAGTGATGTGGCACTAGAGCTACAGAAACGTGTTACTAGGAAGCACCATCTGAAAGACTAACCTGAGAACTTCCAGGATTAGCATAGTGCTCACAGGTACAACCCTGTCAAATGACTCAGATCCTGACTGATGCTTCAGCAAATGCCTGCACCCTGTGAGCAGACACCGCATGTCTGCTTCTGCAGCTCTGGTTTGGCACAAGAGCAGTGGAGAAGCAGCTGTGTCACAGCTCACAGCACCCACTGCTGATGAGGTGCTCACCAGGACAGACCAGCTACTCGTACTTTATTTTTTCAGATTTTGGACAGCAAGTATGTGGAAAGAGCAAAGTCACTTGGAAAATCCAATTCTTCTCATTTTAGAGCAACTTAAAGAAAATTCAATGCAATGGAGCCCTTTATGGAGTCACATTAGGGAAATGTGGATTGAAGCACTCATAGCTCCAATGGAAGAAGTGCCAATCCTACAAAAGAAATAAATAAATAAAATAAAATAAATTGTTACCCTGAACACCAAGGTAAGGAACCCCCAGTGATCTATCTCAAAACTCCAGAAAAAGCATTAATTCCACAAGCCAAGCTAACAGGAATAAAAAAAAATAAGCGTTACACTAGAGAGTGCAGCTAGTTAGAAGCTTTGGACTAACAGAATACTGTGACAAAAAAAAATGCAACAGAAGAGAAAAATTCAGAAAACAGCAGTGAATTTTCCACAAATCATAGTACCTTTTCATTCATTCAAATCCGTATTTTTCATAGGTCTTTGTTTGTATCCTTACAGGCAGAAATATAAAAACAAATCATGCAACAAGTACACATTTCATTTATTAAGAAAAAAATACACAGAGCACCTATGTTCAAAATATCTTTAGACAAAACAGAAAGAAAATGGAACAGAACACAATTAATCCTTGTGAAATCTTAACAAGGGAGTTTTACTACCGCTAAAAGCATACAAGCAGCTTTCAGTACAAATATTGCCCTCATCACTGCTTTCAGTGAAAGACAATTTTCATCTCATGCATGACAGAGCAGCTGTCCTATGAAGCACTAAACCCAGGAAAACTGCCCAAGGAAAATCAGAACAGAATTGTGTCTGTGGCTGAAAGATTTTGCCTTTATTTAATAATGTTAATGATTAGATTTGGTGCTGCTGAAGTCACAAGATTGACATTCTCAGAGGCTGAAGTCTCCATTTGGTAAAATAAAAGTTAAAATTAAAAAGTGCAACAGTCACCTGCAATGTGACTTTCCATGCCCCGATCCACCAGTGCATCTCATTTGCCTGAGACAGTTAAGATAGCAAGGAGAAGAATAGTTAAATACCATTACATTCCATTACTAAGCGTCTACCGAGGCTAATTACAAAACTGGCAAACTAAAATGCCATGGTGATTTCTCTGATGTAATCACCTAACACCCAGGAAATGAATGGAAACAACCAATCCATTTTGCTGACACACATTAGGAAAGAGTGAGCTCCTCGTGAGCATCTGACAAAATCTTCATGATATCCGGAGTCAAACATAAGAAATAATTAAAAGCAAACCAAACATTACACACAACACCAACAAAATAACCTTCAAAATCTCAACAGCATTTAAGAGTTCAAAAGACCAAACAAGCAGACAAACAAAATAGTCAACTAATTGATATTAAAACAAAGAACAGTAAAACAAACAGCTGTACAGCCTATTTTGCTAAAGATAGTTCATTCTCTAGAATGAAGAAGTTCATTCTGTAGAAGAAAAAAAGAACAAATCCACTGTAAATGACTGCAGTCTGATATCTTAAACAGTAAAGCTGAACCCAACCATGTGATTTTGTTGGATGCTACCTCAGTGCTCAACAGAATGCTGTCTGCAGTTACAGCAGCATCAGCTTCATGAAGTTTTCTGTTCCCAGATTTTATTTTATTTTTATAGTTCACTGAAAAAGTACACAGCCATTAAAGCTACTGCGTTAAGAGGCCTCCTCCTCCTGTGAAGGTGTGTTGCTTTTTCTACTGACAACAGTCCACTAAAATGAACTCTTTACAGGGAGTTTGTGTCCATGTAACTGTGTGTGCACCCAGTAACACTGCATCTAATCCAGCCCTGATGGCTGCATACTCCCATCTCATTCCTTCCCAGTCAGGGATCTTTGAATGACGCTGATGCCCTCATTCTCTGACAACACAAACAGTGCATGCAACAATTCCCTCCTAGCTTTTTTTCCCCAAACCAAAAAAAAAAACCAGTGAAATAAACTTCTTTTTTGATGCATTCATTTAAACCTGACTGACAGGTCACAGTGCATTAGAGACACAGGTTCAGCTTGCATGCACATCGGTAGTTATAACATATGGAGATGACCGAATTGAGCAAAAGCGATTTAATCCATTGACAACGCAGTTCATTTCTATGATAAATAAACACGCTGTCAGAGGGATTGGTATTTCATTAATACCAGGTGAAGTGTTCGTTGTGGTAGCCAACAACCAGAAGTCCCTGCAGGTAGCCACCTGCCTGCACCTGACACACGCTTCAAAGAGAAACAAAACCACCCAAATAATATTTAAAAAAAAAAAAAAAAACCCAAAGCCAGCCAAACAGGACCGCCAATACACGATCCGGTGCTTATATAAAGCGATGCTAAAAATAAACTTCCGAGGCGCAGGGCAGGCACAGCAGCTCCCTACTGCCGTGCCCCAGGCAGCCCGCGGCGGTCCCCCTGCTTACCACCAGCACGGGCACGCCTGCGGTCAGCGAGTAGAGGAGCACCGGGGGCACGGCGCTGCTGTCCTCCGGGCCCGGGTACGGTTTGCGATACGCGCCCTCGTAGCAGAAGAAGCCTTGCACGTTGACTGCGAAGGTGTCCGTGTATTCGAAATAGTAAGCCAGCATCACGGTCCCTGCCATGATCACCATCTGGAAGTAAAGCATGCTGGTGAGCGGAGAGGGCACTCGCATGTACGGGGGCTCCGGCGGCCGCGGCGGCCCCGCTCCCCGGCGGCATCCACCGCGGGCGCCGGCGGGGCGGGGAGCGCGGCAGGGCGGGGTAGGGCAGGGCAGGGCTGGCGGGGGCCCGGCCCGCCGCCTCGGTACCGGCTCCAGCGAGGCGCCGGCTCGAGCAGCGGGCGGGCGGGCGGAGCGCGGCGGCGAGGGGGCGGCTTCGCCCCGCCTCACCCCGCCTCACCCCGCCCCGCCCCGCCCGGGGAGCACCGCGGCGCCGGACCTCAGCCCTTCCGAGAGCAAAGGAGTCGAATCCAGAGCCCCGGCTGCCGCGGTAGAGGGGCTGCCCTCGCCCCCGGAACGCATCGCGGGCTGCCCCGGCCCCGCCTGGTAGCTGTATGTACCGGCGTTAAAAGCCTCAAACGGGCAATATATGCTCTTCCGTATACGGATAACTTCTAAAGGAATTCATGCTGAAAGCTTTCATTTAGCAGCTAACGGATAGCTGCCATAGCCCAAGTAGCACCTCCAAATAAAACGTGAGTCTGTTTCAGTGCCAGAAAAAAAATCACACAGACTCAAACCTCAAAGTGTTCCACTTAAAAATACCTATCTGCACATCCAAAGAATGAACAACTGCGCCCTGTGCTTGCACAGAATCACCCATGTGCAGGCTCTGGTCCACATGCTGAACATCAACAGGCAAGAAGTTCCTTCCAGACACCCCCATCCCTGCACCGCACCACGCTACCACCGGCAGCAGCCTGTAAGAGACTCTTTAGCATCAAAGATTGCACTTGGCCTACTGAATCACAACTGTTAGAAATAACAAATTGCATTGGATAGCCCTGCTTTTCTAACATGCAATCATTCTCGCATTGCACTTTGGGTTTAACTGTTTGCTTTCTTCTCCTTTCTGGAGAGATTTGTTCATCTTCAGCGCTGTCAGTTCCCATGTATTTATTTTTAATTGGCCCTTGAAGAACATGCTTTTCCCTTCTGGATTCCACATCCAGTCTATTTTTGTATGCTCTTAACATACCCCCCAGAATAATCTGAATCATGCCATTTGCATTGCAGTCTGCTCTGCATAGTTGTGTACCTTTGTGAATAATGCATAGTGAGACATGAGACATCTTGTGGTGAATTCTGCCTAGCACAGACTTCATTTTTCCCCATTTCCTTAGTGCGGAGTCCAATATCCATTATCAAACACACATACATCTTAATTTCCCCCTATAGGTCACAAACAGATAGCTATATTGTGAAGGCATAAGGCCCAAATCCAGCAGCAAGACTGCAGTGTGCTCAGCTCTTCAGCTGCAGCCGAGCAGATGCCCCAGAGGAACACCGGGAGCTCCTCATGTGCATCTGTGACTATGGCACAGTATGCTGCTGCATGATGAAGTTCTACTATCCAGCTAATAAAATATTTCCAAGTTTTGCTATTAGGAGCCTAAATCCGTGTTACAGATACACCTGGAGTGCCATAGCAATGAGAGGACAGAAGAAGTCCTGCTTTATAAGCATTGTGAAGCTGCTGTCAAAATCCCTGAAGGATTTTGGAAAGAATCTCTAGAGGTTACAAAGCCCAACCACCTTGTCAGCACAACTCCGGGCAGAGGCTTTTTGGGGCCACGCCATCAGCTGTTAAATATCTCAAAAGCCAGAGATTCCAGAACCACACTGGACAAACCATGCCAGTGTCCAACCCTTGACAATATTTCCATTCATTAAACCAGAACATCCTGCGTTCTGTCCCAGGCTCAGACTCTGCTCCTATTACTGGGAACCCAAAGACAAGAATCTGACTCCATCTTCACCACACCCTTTCAGTCTAAGCTAAATTACTAACACTTCTGGCTGTATGTATATCCATATCCTCAATGCTCTGCCTTTTCTGATGTTACACAAATGACAGCAAGTAGATATTGACTGCCATTAGATGAAACATAGATTCTCCTCATTGTCATGCCTCTCAATTTCTTTAATAGTCTTCTCCATGCTTCTCTAACTTTACAGCAGTGATGCTATTGAAGCTCTAAGGTCTGGCTTCCAGGCATTTAAACATACAGTATGCAACAGGAAGGGATAAATCTACTAGTTGCAGTATTCACTTGTATTATTGGCTAAATCTAGTGCTTCAAATACTACAAGTGAATTTGCCATTGTAAACTAGAAAGCACAAGATTTAAGTTGCAGAGGAGCTTTAAAGTTACCAATTGATTTAAAATCTTCATTGATACAAGACTCTGATCACAATGAAAAAAATTAAAGAAAAAAAAACACCCTGTAAGTGTTGCACAATCACCACAACAATCCCAACAGCACTACTAATACACATTAGAACCTGAGAAAGATTTCTTGCTCCACTGCTGTTCTTGGTATTTTTAATAGCACATTGATTTGTTTGCATGTTGCCAAAGGATTGGTTCAGAGCACTCTGAAAGGCTTAGTTTCTTGCAGCTGGTAAAGTGTGGTTTAGTTTCTGTCTCACTTGCAGACATTTAAAAAAATCCATGTAATTGATGGTTGCTACAGTTCTGCCTATGTAAGTTGACTGCTGCAGTAGCTGAATACAATCTGTTACAAAATGAATTTTTAAAACGCTTAAAAATGCATAGGCAAGGCAAGTCCAAGCTCCAGACGACACTACAACACTGAAAGCATTATGAAAGGCAGAAATATAATAATAGCAAATACTTTAATAGTCACAAACAAATTCCCATTGTTGCAAACAGCCTGCAAAGCATGGCATGCACATCACTGGCTTGCTTTTGTAAATATGCATTTAGCTGATCAAGTGAAACCAGAGCTATACTTTTTATTATAATGAACACGATATTCATTGGTTGCCCAGTTAAATACGTAAGCATGTATTAGATGGAACAAATAGAAGTGAAAGAACACATTAGCCTTCAGTGACTAACACAGGCAGCTAAATATATTCTGCAATTACAGCATTCCCTGCTGATTTATATCAGTGATATGCAGTGACAGCAGAATGGCAGAAAAAAGCCCAGAACCAATGATTTTAGTTTCAGAAGGGTACTGGTAAAATTGCCGGTTGACCTTTGACGACAGACAGACTGGTTTTGAAACTCTCTTGGGAATAGTTCCTCTGATCTTAGAGCAAGGGTTTCCCCTCAGAGTTGTCATAGATCCATCTTGTTATTTTCATTTGCTACTTAATTTTAAGTGAAATATCATCTCAAGAGACACAATGAAGAGCAATGCAGACAAAAAGAAACCTTAGCTCCAGTGATTTGTAATACTCTGAAATCACAACCCCCATAACTAGGACATATTTCCAATTCAAAAACAAATTCATTAATCCTTCATGTGTTCTATATCATCATTTCTTTTTAAAAGAATTTTCTAGTTATAAATCAATTCTATGGCAAAAAGCAGTAAAGATACACAGTCAACGCAACAAAGCTTTCCTAATGGGAAAACTTGATATGAAGTCATCCAGCTGTTTTTACTTTTCTCTTTCAGGCTTTATCAGAATGATAAAGATGCATTTAGCAACCCCATGGAAGTTTCCCTGTTACATCTTCACATTACACTAAACCAGCCTGTTCAGAGGGGAATATTGCATCTATTTTGATGATACAACAGCAATGAAGAGAAAGAACAAACTGAATTGTTAGAGACCTCCTGGCTTATCAAGGCAAATTCTGCAAATAGAAGGAGAGAGACTTGCATAAAAACTTATCCACAAACTAACTTAAGAAGCAAAGGGTATCTTTGATGTATGAAAAGCTTTTCAGAAACTTCATCCAATGGTTATTAAAATCCTAAAGGCTGGGGCATTTGCCAAGTTGGATGCCATCCTAGACAGCCTGATCTAGTGGCTGACAATCCTCTCCACAGCAGAGAAGCTGGAACTAGATTACCTTTTAAGGTCTCTTCCAACTAAACACCATTCTGTAATTCTGTGATACTACCAAAATTATGTTCATAGGAGCATCATAATGCAAGAGAAAAATAATTTTCTAGCAAGTGGAGCACAGTGAAGAATCAGAAGTGGAATCTAATTCCCAAAACACCCACAATATGATTCAGACAAATTAGACATCTAATGTAAGTTTTTCATATGGTCCTAGCATGGAGTTCACATAGAGAGACAGCTCCAGCAGGTGACTAAGCTGTACTACATTAGAGCAGGATGAATCATTCCCTCAAAGTGCCATTCATCCCATCCTGAGAAATACCAATGCCTGATGATACCACTTAGAACAATAAATCAAGTTCTGATGACTAGCTTAGACTACCACCCATCTTTTAAAGGACTGCAGTGAGATGTGATCTATTTTACTCTTAACTTTCACCTCCACATCACTAAGTTAGTTCCAAAATAGGAATTATACTTCTCCTGAATCACACAGGGAGGGAAAAAAAAAGTAGTAAAATTAATAGTAGCATAAGCATTAATACTGTATTTGCCTTGCAGTGTCACGTAGAGCTAGACCCTGTTTCCACAGAAGGCAAAATTTTGCCTCAGTAATCTTGGGCACCTCATACAGTGCAGTACAAGTAAATGAAAGAATGAACAGATGGAGATAAAACAAATGAGGAGGAGGACAACGCAACAATGAAATGATTGAGTTGGATATAATGAGTAGTAGCCACAGCAAATTAGTTGCCCAGTCAGTGTTTACATCAATAAGATATTTAGTCTTCATAAAACTGCTTGCTATCTTCAAATTAAGGAGAAGTATTATTACTTACAAGTTCTTCACAGGCTAGAACAGAATATTTGGGATGCCAGAGGCACATTAAGTACCACCAGCCTGCACATCCTGAGAACTAAAGTCTCTCATCAAGATTCTGTATTGTATGAAAATTTTGTCCAAAAGCACATAAGAATGAAGAAATCCTCAATACATTCAGCCTCCTTTTTGTGGTTATGCTCTCACCCACAGTTTAGCCACCTGTAGTATAGTAGCATGCAGTGCTTTTAAGCAGGCAAT